CGTGGGTGCCCTTGACTTGTCACTCTCCCTCACGCCACCTGTCCAATGTCGCGTCTCTCCCTTTCCCCTTTGCAGCAGCTCTCTTATCTGGCCCCTTCTCTCCACTCACACTGCTGCCAATTCAGGCCATCTTCACCTCCTCCCAGACCCCTGCAATTTCCCCCTAATTGGCCTCCCTGGCTGTGTCTGCTTTTTCTTTTCTGTGCTCCCCACAGCTGCCAGAATTGGTCTCACCTCTTCATTTCTCTACTCAGCAAGCTCTCGTGACTTGTTTGTTCTTTGTTCTGGAAGAGGACCGTGACATCAGGGAAGTGATGCCCTGACACACAAGTGAATTAGATTTAAATGAGAAAGGGCTGTGCAAAGTCACCAGCCTCACTCTGTCCTCAAGAGCCATCTGGGTCAGGAAGACTAGAGATGGCCCAGGATCTAGTGGGGGACCCTGGCCTTTTCAAGCCAACGTCTGTAACAGCTTTCAGTTTGACTGAGGCAAAGCCTATTCAGTGATTAAGGCTTAATAAGAAATGAAGTAAAGAATGGTTTCTTAAAAAAAAAAATGGATTTGGGAGGAGAAGACCCTCAGGGTTTCTGTCCAAAACAGAAATAATTGCTATTTACATTCATTCTGAGCCAATCAGGGTAGAAAATTCCAGGAAAATTGTTAATTTTCAGAAGTAATCAAAGTGCCAATTTCTTACCTTTTACTTTGGTTACTGCAAAAGAAAAACCATAGGAAAAACTGGGGAAATGTGCAGATTCATTTTGCTGGACGATACATCTTTGTTACAAGGAGTGTTGGTTTTTTTAGTTTGTTTTTTAAAATTGTTCAGATAGCTGGGACCAGTGGAAGGTTGAGGTAATACATGTAAAAATAAATGATTAGTTTTTTTTTTTTTAAAAGTGGCTAAAGATAAATTTCCAGGGCAGATGAACACATGATTATGGCCTCTTGTCTAGGCAGACATGTTGCATCTATTTATTGTGATATTTGTAGGTAGGAACTCTAAGCAAGCTCTTTTTTGCCTTGGCTAATTTGGTATATTTTGTGTATTTGTGTATATATATATTGTATATATATATATATATATGTATATCTATCTATCTATCTATCTATCTATCTATCTATCTATCTATCTATCTATCTATCTATAGATATATATTTCCTTTTTTCTTAAAGACCAGCTTAAACCCCAAATCACTCTCTCCAGAATGCTCTGATTGGCCAATAACAGGTCTCAGGCCAACCCTAGCTTTTACCTTCCCAGGCTCTATGAGCTAGCTGCATTGGCTTCCTTTTTCCTCATTCCCACTAGTCCAGCTCCTGTCTTGGTGCCTCTGGCCTGGCCTTCCTCCCTCCCTGAAGTGCACAAGCATAGCTCTAGTGCTGCTCCTGCCCCCAGTCTCTTTGTCTTTACTTTGGGTGTCTTTTCTATACCGTGTTCTCATTTTTCCCTTGATGAAATGTAGGCTGTCTAGGGCGGGGACAGTGCCTAGCGCAGAACCTGACACATGAAGAGGACTTAGGTCTTGCTAATTGGGGGCAAGGGTAGAGGTGAGAAGACTGAGCCAGAGGGGCTGCTTGAGAAAGAAGGGACAGTAGCGTGGACCCTGGTACACTGTTGCTGCCCAGATTCTGGACTGGGCGATCTGGACAGATGGGTGGATCCCCATTAGACGGGGACTGGCTTTTGCCTCTCTTTGTATCCCCAGCACTTAGTGCAGCACCTGGCACACAGTAGGCACTTCATTGATGTTAATTGACTCCCTGACTGAGGTGGAGTGAACTTTACAAGAGGAGAAGCTGCTCCGGGTGATGGCAAGAGGTGAAGTCTGGCAGGAGTGATGAGAGAAAGGAGGAGGTTCATTCTTCCTCCTGGCCAGGTGTCTCAGGAAGCAGGAGAGCCCACAGACCCCGTACAGGAGATGGGAGCAAAGCACACCGTTATTTTCCAGATGGGCCATGTTTACAAGAAGATGGCAGCATTGTAACTGGAAGAGACCAGGAGAAGAATTTGTAAATTATAGTTTGAGGTTCCAAGGGGTAGAATAAGGGGAAGAGGGTGGGGCAAAGCTGGGTGGAGTTGAGTGGAAAAGAGGATTTTGCCTATGGCTATCATTGCTTGTGTAAAGGACAGAGTTTGTTAGCCATAGGACAAAAAAAAAATAGCATTTTACTGGAGTTCCTACCCTCCAGAGGCCTGTGATACAACACTAGACTGGGCAGCTTAGTTGGGACAAGTGTGGTGCTAATGAGTTATGGAGTTATGGCTCTGATAAGTGTTCATGGATTCCATTTCCATGTTTGATACAGTCAAATTCATGTCAGTCATTGCTTTAGAAAGACATGCCTTTAGTTCCAAGGAGGATCTCTGAAGGGCTAGAGTGGATAGATCACTACAGGGGCATGTCCATTACATGAGAAATAGCTCAAAAGTCTAGATTATCTTAATGGGGAAACCATTAAGCATTCATAGCATGAATGAGTGAAATTTTTATCTAAATAGGACTTCATAATTTGTTTTTGCATTTCATTTCTAGCTTGTAAAGTGATTGCTTTTTGAAAATCTATTTTTAAATTATTGTCTTTCAGATTGGCTTGTGCACTTTTGAATGCTCTCTATAATTTTATCTAACTTGTTTTCATTCTTCTAATTTGTCCTTGTTTCTTGGTGGCCATTTTACAGCAAGACTCACAGTCTTGCCATATCATATATGTAGTTGATTGACAAGAGGTTTTTTGTTGTTATTCAGTCTTTCCCATATGCCTCTTTCTATACCCTTTGCACCATGCCCCCTACCCCCCATCCTTGCAATTAATTCTAAGTCTGCGTCTTAACCATCTGCCGGATGATGCTTGTGGAGAGCATCTGGCTGCTTCTTCACGTCTTGCCAAGCATTCATTTCGACAGCATGGTTTTTCATCATTACTTTGAGGTTTCTGATTGGGCGTTCTGAATCTTGATAAGTACCTCTTTCATATGAAAGACCACTGTCTCCGGGCAGTTCTTTGCTCCTAGTCGATAGTTGAAAAAAATTTCTTGAATTTGTATGGTAAAATAAATTTTGATATGCTTTATTACTTTTAAGTTTTATAATATTATTATAATATTTAAATGTAATGATACTGTATAATCATGGCAAGGTATCTTTTCTCATTTTTCATAGCATCTTTTTTCCAGATTCATAAAATCAATTAATAACAACATTGGGAAAGAAATCTGGAGGTATTGACTGTATTCATTTATTTATTTTAGAATACTCTTCCTCTCATCTAATGATAATAAATTCTAGGCTAAAAATATTTCCCGGAGAGTGTTCCTTTGACTATTTTTCAGAAAATAGTTTAATTTCAAGATCTTTTTTCTGTTTTTCATAAACGGAAAATCTTAGGTTTCTCTATTTTTTGAATTTTTGTGTAACACTTGTTCAATTTACTAATTAGTTTGGTAATTGTTTATGTACCGATTATAATCGGTAACAGTCATTTTGTAGTCTTAAATTAGATGCATTTTCAGATTTAAGGATCAAAGATCAGACTGAGACTTCTGTTTTATTTTGTTTTTTTGATAACCATCCCTTTTACATAAATTCCTCCTTTATTAGGTTACGGTTGATCAAATGACTTAAATGGAATGTTGCCTAGAGATCTTTTGTTACATGCTTTTGAAATATTGACGAATGCCCTCATCTGCCTTTACGTAAATAGTGTCAAGGAGACAATTTTCTGTTCTTTGGAGAATGGTAGAAGGTCCCCAAGTAATTCACATTTACTTAGCATTCTGGTAAATAAATACCTGTCTCAGGAATGGGGGACAGGAATTGATTTTGTTAAGTGAAAAAAGAGATTTCTAAATCACCTATTGAAAGTAAATACTTTGAGTTTCCTTGAGTGAGTTCTTGTTCTATTTGCCTTTAATGAGAAATGAATTGAATCTCTTGATGACAAAATTCCCAGCTGCGTTACTTCATCTGTCTCTGTTTGGACATTTAGTTTCTCAATTAGATAAAACCCATCAATGTAATAGCAAGAAAGGGGACATGCTGCAGGTAGTGTTTTAGAATAACCATTAAGAATATTCTAGGTTGGTCTCCTCTGAAGGAGCATTTTCAGCGGGTAAACATTCTAGGGGGAGGCAGTGATGACCCAGGAGAAGAGAACTGCGATTGGAGTATGTTTATGGGGGTAGGCAGACTTTTCTTCCTAGGAAGGCTTGTGGTTATCAAGTGCTGTGTAAGTCCCTGGCCCATCACTGGCATCTTGCTCTCTGGCCTTGCTAGTGACAGGAAGACCCTTTTGCTACTTTGAAGTTGCCTCTAGACTAGGTGGTATGGTGGATAGAGCACCAGGCCTGGAGTCAGGAGGACTTGAGTTCAAATGTGGCCTCAGATATTTACTGGCAGTGTGACCCTGGGCAAGTCATTTGCCTGATGTTTGCCATAGTTTCCTTATCTGTTAAATGACCTGGAGAAGGAAATGGCAACCCACTCCAGTATCTTTGCCAGGAAAACCCCAAATGGGGTCAAGAAGAGTTGGACATGACTGAAACAAATGAACAACCAGACTGATTAGCGAATTTGTGCCTTTGACAATAGAAGAACTGACATAACCAGTGTGCTGCTTATTCTCTCTAAAGTACAGAAAAGCTAAAATTTTCTTAGAGTTCAAGCTTAAGTTTTATACTATGTGACATTCTGAGTATGTGAGTTATATTCACAAGCTGAAGTCCTAACTTTTATGCTTGCAGAAATATCAGAAACTGACCTAACATGAATTATAGCAGTTGTATCTCTCCGGTTAAAATATAATAGAACTTGCAAATCTGCATGTTATATACAATTTTTAATCATCTTTTCTCATTTTAGTTGCCCAACTGAGCATAAAAGCTAACTGCTCATGGCATTTAGATGATTTTTAGTAGTCAGCTGATTTAAGTCAGTATTGACAGAGGAAATAACATGGTGACACGATGAATTAAAATGTAATTTTGTTTTGTTTTTAGACACTACCAGAAACATCTCTATCAGAGTATGCTGAAAATTTAAAAGATAAGAGTACTTTGGTTTCATCTTTATATAAAGTTATCCAGGAGCCGCAAAGTGATGTAAGTAATTTGATTTCTTTAGAAGTTGTGATACCAGCAGTGATGTGTTTTGGGGTCAAATTGGAATCAGATTCTGGTGAGAAGTTAGTAATTGACTTTGCTGATAATTTACAATGGAAGAGAACTTTGTTTCATTCCCTTCCCTGCCTTCTTCTTTTATCCAAAGACAGAGAAGTTCCTTTACGGCAGGCCTTGGAGCTCAGTGCCAGTTACACAGTAGGTGCTTAATGAATGCTTGACAATCAGGTGTTTTGGTTTGACTCTGACTTGTGTCTTCTTTCCCGATGTCACAGCCAACCCCAGCTGAATTGGGTCAAATCATTAGTTTGCCTTGAGTTTTATCTTTGCTAACCCCTGCTGTCTCCAGTGGAACCCAAAGCCTTGCTGGACTGAGGCAGGTGCAAAGCCCTGTCTGATCAGACCCCTGCAAGACATCTGTCATCTATTTCCTTCCCTCTGTTTCCATCCAAGTATTTAATCTGGACGTTGATTACCTCTCACCTAAGTGAATATTATGAACCTGGGAGTCATCTGCATCTGCTAAGCACTTTACCATTGTTATCTCCTTTGATTCTCACAATAACCCTGGGAGGTAGGTGCTGTTATTATTCCCATTTTACAGATGAGGAAACTGAGGCAAACAGAGCTTAAGTGATTTGCCCAGAGTCACACAGTTGGAAAGTATCTGAGGCTAGATTTGAACTCAGGTCTTCCTGACTCCAGGCCCAGCTCTATTTACTGAGCCACCTAGTTCTGTCTTTTGGGATGTAGTCAGTTTTATAAAAAATAAATTTTTGTATTTATTTTAATATTACAGATCTAGAGCTGAACAGGAGCTCAGAGGCCATTTAATTTTCTGTTCTCATTTTACAGATGAAGAAATAGGGGTCCACAAGTGGGGAGGGGCTGGCCCAAGGTCATAGAGAGAGATTTGAACCTAGGTCCTCTGATTCCAGAGCTAGGACCCTCCACCTCCCGTGCTGTTACTGTCATATTCTATGCTGACAGAACACTCTAATATTCCCTGGTAATGAAGAATACAATTCATTTGACTAGACCAAAGCATTGACCACATCTGGTGTTTTCTTCTTCTTTTGTTGGGTATTGTTTGGGCCTCTGCTGCTTTCCGACTTTTCTTATCCACTGTCCAGCCCAGACCCTCCTGAAGATATTCATGAAGTGTTGGCATGAGCTGTCTAGATGGACTCTAAGCCTTTATGATCTGATGCCCTTGGTTATTTTCCAACATTTTTTTAGACATCACCCCTTGTATCCACCTCAGAACTGAAGTCTCCCTGAATATCAGGATATATGTGGACTTAATTTGGAGGATCTTATTAAGTTCTTTGTAGAGTTTCATTTTCTGCAACCAGTGTTGGTACCTAAGTCACAGACTTGTTCATGGCTGTCTTGGTGCTTATCGTTACTGTGAATATAAAAGAGGTAAGATCACCAAGCACTCCATTAAGTGTTTTTTTGTTGCCTTTGATCGTATGGTAAAATTGCCTCTGTGAACTTTTTTGTCCTCCTCTCCAATCAGAGGTTTTGGGAAGCCCTGATACAGTGGAAAGGGCTCTGGAGTTGGGCAAATCACTTGGCCTCCCAGGGGCTCCAGTTCTTCATCTAAACAATGAGGGGATTGGATTTGGGGAGCTCTGGACTAGACTTGACCCTTATGGCTCTAAATGTCTAACCCTTGGATCCTTTTCTCTCTCTAAGGCTGTCATGCTGCCTGAAACTCTCCTGGTAGTCATTGTCTTTGGACCCAACCTCCTTGTATCTTTTGGTTTATTTTATAAAGAAAACATCAACATGCACAGTTTAACTCTTGAGTAGCACATAAAGTTGTTAGACCTGTTAAAGTCTAAAGTCTAAAGACACGTTAAAAGTACTAGTAGTTAAATTAATGCTGTTCCTTGTCCCTGCTGTCCCTGCAGAAGGGGCTGGTAGCTGGGCTGTCATAGTTTCCCTGCTTCTGTCCGTATTCAGTTCAAATCCACCCTTTGGCAGGAGGCCTTTCCTCAGTTGCTGGGGCCTTCTCCTCTTGGATTTCCTTCCAGCTACTCTCTAGGTATCTTGAATGTACCTATGTATTGCATGATAGCTCCCCCCCCACCCCATTTGAATGTAAGCTTCTTGAGGGCAGGGACTTTTTATACTCCCATGGTTAGCACAGTGCTGAGCACATAGTAAACGCTTATCAAATTCACTGACTGACTAACTAACTTAGGATGGATTGACTGGGCTTGTGCCGCCATCAGCAGTGTCTTTATTCTGAGCCAATTGTGTCTCTAAGCTGACTCTGACAGGTAACTGCCTTGGAAAGGCTTGTGAACTTAGAGTTTCAGGGTTGCCAACCTACAGAGTGTCCAAGAACCAGGGGGCCCAGTGTATTCTTGGAGGTGCTCCCCTTCGGCCTGCACTCCTTGGGGCTTGGGTGTTTTCGTGGGCTTAAGAGAATAATTTTTGGGCTTTATGCTCTTAGTTTTGTTTGGTTTTGGTTTTTTTGGTGGGGAGTGTTGGACGTGTTTCTGTAGAAAAGAGAGAAAAGACATGGAGGCCTGGCCTTTGATTTTAGCTTGAAAATTCCACAAGTTCTGTTTGCAGATGTCAACCTTTGTCTTGTAATGTATTGCTCAAGCAGGGGAAGCCCTTTGTTCAGTAATGATGACTATTAACTCTGATCCTCTCTGAGTGTGCTCCCTTCTCTCTCTCTCCCCAGTTGCTCGAACCTGTGTGTCACCAGCTCTTTGAGTTCTACAGAAGTGGAGAAAAAAAGCTTCTACTCTTCACGCTGCAGTTTCTTCCAGAGCTGATGTGGTGCTACCTGACCGTGTCTGCCACCTGGAAGCGGCACAGCACGGGCTGCATCGAAGCTCTCCTTTTAGGCGTTTACAACTTGGTTTGTATGAAGATGACGGCCCATGTTCAGAGCGTGCATGGGGAAATCACCACCCTCCAATGGGTCGTTTTTTTCCTCTTTGAGTTTATTGTCCATCTTTTTTTTCTTTTTCTGAGACCAGCTTTATTTAAATGAACATAGTAGCAGACTTTCTTTTATTTTACTTTCACAGATGTCATTGTTAATGTTATAATGCGAATTGTAAGCCATTGGGTTAATTGGAAGGTAAAAGAAAAAGAGTTTGTATCGGCCCTCGGTTCACATTGCTTCTGCAGGGAGAAGTGCAGCAGCGGTGAAGTGTCTGGAGAGCACCAAGAATCACTGTTGGCTGATGGTCTGAAAACGTGAACTTCACTGTAGTTAAACTAACTGTGAACTCAGTGTTCCACTAGACTGGCCTTGCTGTTCCTCACCCATGGATAGCCTTGGTGACACGCCTTCCTCACCCCTGCTGCTTAGACTACCTAGCTTCCTTTGAGGCTTGGCAGGAGATTGGGGAGGAGACTGAGAGCAGATATATTGATCTGGGAGTCATCTGCATAGAGATAATAGTTAAACCCTTGAGGTTGCCAAAAGAAAGAACAGAGAGGGGGAAGAAAAGCATGCCCAGGCCAGAGCCCTGGGGAAACACGCACAGAGGGGCACACCATATAGGATGAGGCAGCAAAGGAGACGGAGAAGGAGCTGGTGTGCTAGGAGCAGAACCAGGAGAAAGGAGGGTTCCAAAAACCTGGAAAGGAGAGAATGCATAGGAAGAAAATGGAGTTTGTTCAGATAGGTCAAGAAAGACAAGGCCGAGAAAGGATTGTTAAGCCTGGCAATTAGGAAGTCATGGTTAACTTGACAAGAACAGTTCTAGTTGAGTGATTAAGCTAGAAGGCAGAAGCAAAGGGTTGAAAAGCAAGTGAAAGAAAGTGGACATTGCAAGCATAAACAGCTTTTTCCGGGGGTTTGGCTGAGAACAGAGAGAGTCTGCTAGTGTGAGGCAGTGGCAGGGCCTAGGGCAGGAGGAACCACTAGCCAGGGAGAAGTTGGGCCACATGGTTGCCAAAGTGATGATCCTCAAGCCACAGCTCTGGACACTGTGACTTTGTCCTGCTCAGGAACTCCAAGATAAAATGTCAGCCCCCACTTCTTGTCACTTACCGTCCTTCTCAATCTGGTTCTAGATTATGATGCCACAGTGCATAGAGTGCCGGGCTGGGAGTCAGGAAGAGCTGAGTTCAAATGTGGCCTCAGACACTTAGCAGCTGTGTGACCTCAGGCAAGTCACTTAGCCCTGTTTGCCTCAGTTTCCTCATCTGTAAAATGAGCCACGTAACAAAATAGCAAACCGCTTCAGTATCTTTGCTAAGAAGACTCCAGATGAGGTCATGAAGAGTCACACACGACTGAAATGATTGAACAGCAGTAACAAAATGCAAAATAGGAGTTTATCTTTACTGTTAGAGGTGATAGGGAACCACTGGAGTTTATTGAAGAGGGAATTGACATGGTGAGATGTGTTCTTTAGGAAAATCACCTTGGTGCCTGTGCGAAGGATGGATTGGAGCGAGGAAAGATGAGATAGGGAAATCAAAACAGGAGGTGCTTGTAATAGTCAGAGTGAGAGGTGATGCTGTGAGTGTAAAGAGAAGAGGATGGATGCACAGTGCCTGGCACACAGTAGGTGCTATGTAAATGCTAGCTGTAATAATAATAACAAATATTGTTATGTCATCATCATCATCATCGTGGAAATAAGACTAGGCCATTATTAGATAGCTGAGGTGATGGAGAATGAGGAGTTGAGGATAACACTGAGGTCGCAAACCAAGGAAACCAGAAGCAGTGCCCTTGATGGAAATAGGGGAGTTCAAAAGAGGCCTGGATTTAGGGAAAAGAGAACAAGCTCGATTTTAGATAGGCTGAGTTTGCAATGTTTGTGGGGAATCTCGTCTGAAATGTGCTCAAGGCAGAGTATGATATGGGATTCAAGCTGAGGAGGGAGATTGGCAGCGGTTACATAGAACTGGGAGTCATCTCAGCTGAGACGGTCAGAGTCCATGGGGACTGAGGGAGTGAGCAACCAAGAGAGTACAGAGAGCAGAGAGCTCAGACCAGGGCCTGGGACAGCACCAACGCTTACACCCTTTGGTATAGACCAGAGCCAGTAAAAGAGATGAGAAAGGAGTGGTCAAGCTGGAAGAGGACCAGGAAATGGTGTCACAAAAGCCCAGTCAAGTCAGCAAGCATGTATTAAGTACTTATTATATGCCAGGAACTCCACTAAGTGTGGGAGTAAACAGAAAGGCAAAAACAATCCCTGTCCCTAAGGAGTTCCCATTCTAATGCGGGAGAAACTTGCAAACAACTGTGTGCATATATGATGTACAGGGTAATTTGGAGGTCATCTTAGGAGGGGGCGACTGGCATTGGTGGGGACCAAGAAGATCGGAAGGTCGAGGCAAGGAGGGAGAATATCCTAAGCATGAGGGACAGAGAGTGAAAAGGTGTAGAGAAGAGAAATGATGCAGAAGGAGTGACCAGCTAAGAGTTCAAGAAGGATGAAGACTGAGAAAGGACCATCTACTCTGACAGCTGAGGGATGTGGTTAGAAGTTCAATGGAAAAGTACGAGGAGTGAGGGAGAAGGGATGAAAGTGGCAACAAGAGGAAAAACAGGAGAGGAGAAATAGAGAATGGGGAGCTGGGGGGGATGGCAGGACCCATGGATGAAGATTTAGAAATACTTATTTGTAGGCAGCAGGGAAGAACCTAGTATATGGTCAGAGACTAAAGATTAGAGAGGATTAGAGAGGAAGAGAGTGATCTACTGGGAAAATGGAGGGGAGGGCATTGAGGGCACATAGATGTTGGCCTTGTCAAGGAGAAGGGCATTATTGGAGACTGGAGTAAAGTAGAGAGAAAAGGGGATAATATCAAGAGATTGTGAGATAAGGGCAGAAGAAGGGAGCTCACCATGAATCATCTTTACTTTTTCAGCATAGTGAAAGTCCTCAGATTATAGGGTTGAAGAAGAGGGTGTGTAGGAGGTTTGAGGGGAGAATAAAAGGTCTGGAACAGCCTCTTTGAAGAGTGTTATAGAGAATCAGTTACGGAAGAGTAAAAAGATTGCCTTGCTTTTCTGGGGAGGGCCCAGTTGAGAATGTCTAGCGAAATTAGGGTTAGACCCAGCCAGCTCTGTTGTGACTTCTTCAGCTCTATTCAGTAGCAGAGGAGTAGGCATAAAGGAGACAGATGGTGGGAGGAATCCAAGATTGGGGTTTGTCAAGGGATGAGTGGTGATAGGACAAGGGGACAAGGAATTTGAGAGTAGAAGACAGATGGTTGAATAGGTTAACTCTAGGGTCAAGATTGGGAAGGGAGGAGAGTGATGGGGAGATGAATGAGAAAAAGCTCTGAAGCTGAAGGGATTGGGATCATGATGAGGATGCAGAGAGGTAAGACATAGGGAGAAGCAGATGATCAGAGGTCATGATCAGTTTGAGGAATGTCAGAGCTTTTGGCTATGAAAGAGAAACATTTGTAAGTGACAGCCAGGTGTAAGGTGTGACTATCCTCATGTGTGACTTTGGTGGAATTGAAGAGGAGGTCGTGGGCTTTAGGGTATTGATATAAGCATCAATAACTTAGCTAAGTTGAAGTGTTCTATTGTGAGGGCAGGAGTTGGGCCCTAAAGGAAGACAGTGAGCCTGGGCTTTGGTGGACTTCAACTCAGTATGAATCAGTAGTGTCACGGGGTAGCCAGAAAGGCAAAAGTTATCATGGGCTTCCCGAAAGGCTTCCCTTCAGAGATTGGCTTAAGGAGAGTAGCAGCCAGGTAGCAGCTGCAGCACCATACCTGCCACATCTATGTGCCACGTTTGAGGAATGTCAGTGATAAGCTAAAAAGAAAGTTCAGAGGAGGGTGACCGTAGCATGAAAATGAACCTTGAGTTTTTGCTAAATGATGATCATTCGAAGGAACTGGGGATGCTTGGCCTGGAGAAGCCAGGTTTGTCATGATGCCTGGCTTTAAGCATTTGAAGGCCTGTTGCCTAGAAGAGGCTTAAACTTGTTCTGCTTGTCCTTAGACACAGAACTTGAGCAGCATGGCTGAAGAGGCCAGCTAAGGCTATCAGTGAGTTACCCCAGATTGGATCAGGCTGCTTGTCCTCATGGGAAGTCTTCAGGCAACTCATTGGGTTTGTTGTGTGGAGGTCCCTTCCACCTGTAATATTTCTGTGATTGCAGAACATTGGAGACATCCTCTGTGGAAATGGATTAGATGATATGAATGGAGACTGTACAGGATGTGAAGACGTGCCATCTGCATCATTAGAAGGAACGGCCACATCAGTGACACCACTCATTCTTTCAAGTGTTAAAGGGTTATAGGACGACTGGACGTTTCCATCTGTGAAGCCTCTGGCTTTCCAATATGATTTTTATGTCTTTACCTTTTTTTGTCCATGAATAAAGTATTCTGCAGATCCATGGATTGTGAGCATTTGAGAGCTTTTCTAGGGCAGTGAATATTTATGAAGTCTTTACATCCTGGGCTGCACTTTCCCAGATTCATTAAAATCTAGGCTACTTCTGAATTTTGCGTGAATTATTTGAACAGATTAAACTTGACCTGGTAGCATGTTTTCCTTTTGCATTTTCAGTTTTCTACAGTTGTGTAATCTGTGAGGGAATTAAGAAAGCTTCCAATCTGTCTCCTTCCTTTAAAGGAGTGCAGGTTACTGCTGCTCTTCAAGGCATGTGATTAGCTTGTCAAGTTTCTCTAACTTGTCTGTTAGCTACTTTATTTTAGTTGATTTAGGGGGGTAAACAACCTTAAACATGTTACATGTATTAAATCAGGAAAATCTAAGTGTTTGAAATGCAATGCATATTTTAGTTAAATCCAACAAATTGAGTGATTGTTTCTGATACTTTAAGAACACATGTATATACATGCAAGCTCCTAATGGCTCCATTTCTCTGGTTCAGTGAGTGGAAGGGCATTGTAAGTTTTTAGAGAGTTTTGGTTATTTAGGCCAAGAATGTAGAGATTCTGTGTGTCTGTGTATGTATATTTGTCTTATAGACTTTAATTTACATGTCAGTTCATTCTCTTCTTTTTTTTTCTGTAGGAAATAGTTGACAAACAGGGACATAACAAAGTGTTGAGTTTTACAATCCCATCTTTATCTAAGCCATCAGTGTATCATGAAGTAAGTGGCATTGATCAAGTGAATGTAGGGGGCCTGGCCTATGAGGTTTTTCCTTCCATTGATATTTCTTGGTGGGCAGGAAGGGGGTGGGGCAGAAAAGACGAACTCACCAGAGTCAACAGGAGAGGAGTGCATTTGTGTGATGCTTTGCCCTGAATGAAATGCTCTCCAAGTGTAGCTGTCCTTTCTTACTGTGTCTCCTCCCCCCATTCTCTCATGTGTGTGTCCATCTAGTCATCACCTTGTGGCCTAATTGATCTGTCTAGTGCAGATAGAACAGACATAAATAACGTGCTCCTGTCACTCTGCTGCTCACAAATGTATGGTGGCTTCTGCCCAGAGGCCTTGACTTAGCCCAGCACTTAAGGCTCAATGTCATGCTGTTCTAATTGTGCTTCCAACTCTAGGCTACATGCTCCCCAAACATACTCTCCTCCTCAACCAAACCAGATTACTTATCACTCCACGAATAGGCCATGTGTTTTTTTGCCTCTGTGCTTTTGATCTCACCATTCTTAGGATGCTTAGAATTTTCATTCCACCATCCTCACCTATTAATCTACCCATCAAGACCCAGGTGGAGTGCTGTCTCCATACAGCCTTCTCTTGTTCTTTTCTCTCTTTTCTCTGCAATTGGAAGTCATCTCTTTCCATCTTTCAAAAGTTTGAGGAAGCAACAAAGAGAAACTCTGTTTTGGATCTGATTTTCATCAGTCAGGAGGGATTACTTGCTGGAGGTAGAAATAATGGGAACCTTGGAGGAAAATGACCACTCCTTCTTAGAACTTGTAATAGACTAGGAAGGACATTTGAGAATACAGTGACATACACCCTGAATTTTAGGAAAGTGGATCTCAAAGTGTTTAGGATGCCTAGAATGCCATGGTCTAAAATTATATGGAGAAAGTCAATGTAGGATGAATGGGAGGGTCTCAAGAATTAATTCTGAAGACCTTAAAAAAAGAAACAGTTCCACTGAGGAAGACAAGATGAAGTTAGTTATCTAAAGGGACTAATACGAGTTTACAGAGAACTAAACAACCAACTTAGATTTTAAAGAGATGTACAGCATAGTCCTATATGAACTTCCTCAGGGAGTCGAAGGTCAGAATGAGCTGATGTTGGGGAGGAGAGCTAAGCATACAAAACAACAACAGTAACCATCACCATCACCACCACCACCACCATCACTATCACCAGCAGCAGCAGCAGCACCACCCCCACCACCCTGTATTCGAAAAATAAGTAGCATCCAAAAAGAGATAAAGCAGATAGAACAGTGATCACTAGTGACAGAGAGGAAATTGAGGACTCCTTGACTCTTTGCTACTGCTCTCTGCCACTGGAAAAATGGGGAAAGATGACCATTAGGGAGCTGCCATCCAAGATAAGGAGATAACTAGTACTTGTCTTCCCTTAATGAGGTCAAATCATCTAGGCCCACCCAAGAACCAGCAGATGTGATTGTTGAATTTCTGTCAGGGATAATCGGAAGATCATGGGGAACTGGGGGGACACTGCAGAATTAGAAAAGGGCAAATCCTGTCGCTTTGCAAGTTGGAACATTGGTCTTCCAATTTTGAGGCAACTTCTTGTTCCTTAAGAGTTTTCAGACATCACCAATAATCATAGGTAGCATGGATTTTAATTCCTTGCAAAATTCTACAGCAAGCTATTAAGAGATAGTCAGGGAACATCTAGAAAGGGAAGTGGTCTCCATAAAGGGCCAATGGGATTTCTTGAACAACAAGTCTCAATAACTTACATTGGTGGGTCAGAAGACCATAGACAGAGCTGACCCACATTTTTACAGAGCATTTTATGAAGTCCTACTTTATGATGCTAACCTTCTGGAAAATATGAAAAAGTGTGGGTAAGATGATAGTACATTTAGATGGATTTAGATGAGTTTTGAATGGCTGGACCCTAAGAAGAGTCCTTAATGGTTAATCAGTATAATGTGGTCTTCAGTAGAAGGCCTCAGACATCCATGCTTGGCATTTTTATCACATGGGTGTCATACTTCTCCAATTCACAGATGAGCAAAAGCTTAGAAAAAGAATAGCTCGCACATTAGGTGACATAATTAAAAAAAACTTTTGATAGAAGCTTTGAGCCAAATTTATTAAGATGAAATTGAGTAGGAATCAATGTAAAAATTTTTTACTTGCATTCAAAACAATTTCCCAAGAACAAGGTAAAGAAGGTGTGGCTGTGTAGTAGCTGGTTCCACATGACCCTAGAAGACAGAACTGGTACTAATGAATGGCGATGCAAAGGGACAACTTGAGGGTTGGCAGAGGGAATCACTTGCTAACAATTACAATCGCCTGAAAGTGGAATGGGCTGCTTGCCTTGGGAAGCAGGGGCTCCCCTCACCAGAGGTCTTTGTGCAGAGATTGGATGATCGTCTGGCAGGTATGCTGCAGAGGGAATCTTTGGTCACCTCCTGGATGTCCCCTGGGGTCCCTTCCAACCATGGGCCTGTCATTCTGAGATTCTCTCCTCTCACATCCCTAGTCATGAAACTTGTCATGTTTTGGTGTTGCATGAGTTCTGTGTACACGTGTCCTGTCCTTTTAGTAGATTAGAAACTTCTTGAGGCCAGCTACAGTTTCTTAGTTAGCTTTGTGTCTCCCTCAGCATCTAACAATAGGAACTTAATAAACGAGGCATTATCCTCAGAGGCTGCATGGTGGAAAGGATTAGGAGCTGACCTCAAAGATAGGAAGGCCTTGCTTCAAATCCTGCCTTCTACCCATACTGACGGATGAAGTCACTTTGCTTCAGGTTCTAGGGCTCTAACTCTCAGAGAAGGTGCTGACCTGCCTTGGCAGAGTGGACCTTCCCCAGGAGCCTCTCTGGCTCTGGCAGGATGAAATTGGAAAGTTGATGGTGACAAGTTTGTTTTGAAAAAACTTAGTTTGCATATTTTCTCTCCCCACTCCCCAGTATTTTTTTTTTGCAATTCTGTATAACATTATACTAGATTTTTTAAAAAACAGGAATTTTGTTGCTTTTTTTTCTTTTTTTTTTCATGCCATACTCACATCCTAAAACATCTCCACTAACAGAAGTAAATGCCCTTCCTTAGAAATACACCTACCAAAAAAACCCAAGGCACCAACTCAGACCTGGCAGACCTCACAATTGTGCCTGGCAAAGGCAGCAACTGACTCCCTTGGGAGGCATCCCTTCCCTCCCTTCAACATCAGGCATTGCATTTGATTGGAATTTGGTTCACCTTAATTCTTGTCCTCATTTACATTATTGTAGACATTATCTAACATGCTGTGGTTCTGCTTTTTTCTCCCTTCATTAGTTCATATAAATTTTCCTGTGTTTATTCTGAACTTCTCATATTAATAATTCCTAGTGGCATATTCCTAAATCCTAATTACATTACTGGACCACATTTTGTTCTGCTGTTCTGCAATTGAAGGGCATGTACTTTTTCAGCTTTTTATTACTAGGAAAAGTGTTGCTATTGATATTTTGGTAAATATGAGGCCTTTCCTTGTGTGCTTGACCTCCTTGGGGAATTTGGAGGATGAGGTCAAAGGGTAGGAAGAGTAATAACTTTTCTTGCATAATTTAAATTGTTTTCTAGACTAGCTATACCAATTCATACTTTCCCCAAGAGTGTATTAGTATGCATGTCTTCCCATAGCCCCTACAACATTAACTTTTTTAATCTTTTATTGTCTTTGTCAAGTTGATAGCTTTGTATATTGAAAAAATTGAATTTTATCAATCTGGAATTTTTTGTGAAGTCCTATAGTGTTTTCTTTTTGTTAGTCAGTATCAAAGAAGATTTAAAAGTAAAAGATTGATAATCAAATTATGTACTTATCTCTAATATACAGTATGCATGTTATATCATTTTTCCTTAATTACATATTTCCCAGAAGCGTTTGTTGTGATTGTTTTTATTGAAATGCGTTTTTTCTTTAGCCTTCCAGCATTGGTTCCATGGCTTTGACAGAAAGTGCTTTATGCCAGCATGGTTTATCAAAAGTTGTTTACAGTGGACCTCATCCTCAAAGAGAGATGTTAACAGCTCAGAATAGGTAAGATTGAGAAATATAATTTGTTGCATAAAAGTCAGAGAATTATTTTACATTAGATTTACAATTTTTAGATACATTGCATGCTATTAATTTAAACAGATGACTAATTGTATGTAAGAGAAAATTCATCTTAAATCATTGATTGTGCTCTTGTTTCAGAATTCATCTGGAAAATATTAATTTCAAATAATTGTCATAGTTATTATTCACTCTCTTAAGAAAATTAACACTAATTTTTAAGAGAATTTCAATGTAGTATTTGTATATCACTATTCCTTGCCTTTATTTTTGAACACAGATATAAAGCACTATATAAATGGTCGCATTATTATTATTATTGTTGTTATTGTTAAATTGGAATTCAGAGTTTGTGAAATCTTTCTTGTTTTCTCTTTAGGTTTGAAGTGTTGACATTCCTTTTATTGTGTTACAATGCTGCCTTAACCTATATGCCCAATGTTTCTCTTCAGTCGCTGTGTCAAATTTGTTCAAGGTAAATTAAAAACTAAATATCAGCTTTTACTGGATATGCTGACTAACTTGTTGTGTTTGCAATGACACCTTCCTTGTTATGCTTTTTCCAACACTTTAAAAATTAAAAGTTCCAAAAAGAAGAATAAATTTAGCTCAATAAAGAAAACGCTAGCTCTGTGAAAGGCTTGGCAGTGCTTGGCATGGTGTCTAGCCCGTGGTAGGCTCTTAATAAAGTGTTGATTTGATTGAGTGATTGTCACATTCTCTTAGTCATTTTTTTGGATCCATATTTGTGCTCGTTAGGAGCCGTGATACAGGTGAGAATGATGGTTTTTCTTTTTTTAAACTCTCCTGCCAATTAGAGATCTATGGGAGTAAGAGTGGAGAGGATACTTTGGGGAGCGTGCTTGGCATGGTGCTGTAGTGGGCACTTCATAAATGCTTGTTGATTTGTCTTGACCTGAAATCAGTGAAGGTAAGTTTAAGGAGTTAGAGAATAATTTGGATCTTGGGAATTCTTTTGGAGCCTGTGGAGTGCTGGGAGCTAGCCAGAGGGAGAAAGCATTGGCCAGCACTAAACTCCAGAGAGAGCAGAGGAGGAATGGGAGGATTAGGGGAGAAGGCAAAGCGGGAAGTCAGCAGCGTAGAAATACCAAACTTCACTGTTTTTCGATTCATGCCTTAACTTTGATTGCTCCTCAGCTAGAGCTTAATTATGCTTCCTGTTCTTAAAAATGATACCTAACCAAGTTAGGTACTTTGACTTTCTTTACCAAATAGGCCTTATGTCAGTATTTCCGGATTCCATAGTTTTATCAGTATGGGAATTCATTGTAGCCATCACCTCTAACATAATAGATAAGTAGAGTCAATTGTCTATGGTTCTGAGAGTCTGTGATTTGTCCAGGGTCATACAAGAGACTTTGAATTCAGCTCTCTTGACTCCAAATCCTTTACTCTGTCCCCATTTTGTGCTATATAATAAGAGGAAAGCAGGTCAACAAATATACTCAGCATTGTGTGAGTCTCCCCCCATCTACTTCTTTGCTTTTAAAGGACTTAGGGAATCCATTCTTGCCCCAGCTGGTTACCGAACCCAAACCCTCAGTGGTAGCACACAGCACTTTTCCACCCTGTTCCCTCTGTGTTCTGATTGTCCCTGCCCCAGTGCCTTTGTCATCCCCGTGCCTGAAATGCTTCCCTGAAGGCATAACTAGAGTCCTCTTTGCTCTCCATGAATCTTCTCTGACAAGCTCACCCCACTCCTTTGTGAGGTCTAGCTTGAGGCCGTGCTGCCTCTGCCGATCCCCTGGTTTGTTCTGAGAAAAAAGCCCGGATTCTGCTTTGGATGTCTGAGATCTCCAAAGAGGTGCAGACAGGATTACCCTTGATGCTGTTTTCTGGCCTCGGGTTCAGAATCAGGCCACTTTCACATTAACACATAACAAAGGAGACGTTGTTGGTGGGCTCTGCTGTTTTTCTGTGAACAGCAGCCCAGTCTTTCACATCTGGCAAGTCCCAGGGAGATGCCATTGGGCATCGGGCTGGCTCGGCAGTGCGTCTGTGTGCCTAGGGCCCCGTGAGAAATGGTTTGTAGAGTGGGATTGATTGAAAGCTGCTCCCTCAACGAAGGAAGTGGAGAAATGGAAAGAGGAAGTCTCCCTAACTCCCATGGGGCAGGGGCTCTGGTGGAGAAGGGGGGAGAGAATAAAAGAGCAAAGAGACAGACGGCTTTTGCTTTGAAAATGCACCATCTTGGTGTCTTGATGAGCTCTCTTTCTCTTTCTGCGTCCCAGATGAACTGAATGTATCTTGATTCTAAATGAATTTGTCAAATATATAAATAGAAAACTCATGTTAGCCGATGTCTTTGCTAGCTTGCTCGGAGAGCTGGTGAGCTGCTGGCAGTGATCACTAGAAGAGCCCGTTCTTCTCCTAAGGCACAAATTAAGCTGAAAGTCCTACCGTGGAGTGTGCTGACGGGACTGCTGGACAGTCTTTCCAAAGGCTCTATGTCCCTCCATGATTTCAGGATTTATTTTTGGAACTCTGCAGAAATCAAGAGGCCATGATGCTCGCGTTCTTGGTGAAAACAGGGTCTGATGTTGACATCGAAGAAGTGGAGCATCAGGGAGCCAGAGGGGCCAAGCAGATTCCTAGGAAAATCCCCAAAAGGATGCAAGGGGGTGCAAGGAAGAGACGATAGGATTCTTAAAAGCTAGAAAGGAGAAATACAGAGAGAGGCAGTTTAGTGTTCGTTTAATAATGCCTCTAGGAAGCAAAAGATGGTCATTCAAAGAAATGAGCTAACATTGATTTTAAAGTGTTTTTTTTGAGAAACACAAAAATCCAAGTGTATCTCCTATAGTTTACTTAGCATAATATTAAATAGATCATGTAAACATGACTACATTTCTTTTTTTCTCCTCATTTTATTTTTTTTAATTAATTTATTTCTAGTTTTCAACATTCACTTCCATAAGCTTTTGAATTTTAAAATTTCTCCCCCTCCGTTCCTGCCTCCCTCCTCAAGACAGCATACAATCTGATATAGGCTCTACATATACATTCCTATTAAACATATTTTCACATTAGTCATGTTATAAAGAAGAATTAGAACCAATAGGAGGAGCCACAAGAAAGAAGAAACAAAACAGAAGGAAAAAAAAAACCAAATAGTATGCTTTGATCTGCATTCAAACTCCATAGTTCTTTCTCTGGTTGTAGATGGCATTTTCCATCATGAGACTGTGACTACATTTCTGAGGGAAGGTTTTAGGAGGTACTCTGTACATTTCTACTCATATTTAATGGGTGCCAAAGGCTAGGAAAATAGAAATACATGAAGCCTTAAGAATTCCATTGTGTGTCTTAGTGGCCCTAAGAATGGAGCCAGGAATACATCCATTATCATTCTTCTCCTCTCCTCTTTTTCCTCTTCTTCCTCCTCCTTCTCCTCCTCCTCCTTCATTTTCTCTTCCTCCTCCTCCTCCTCCTCCTCCTCCTCCTCCTCCTCCTCCTCCTCCTCCTGTGGGAGCTTGTGAGGAAAAGATCCTATTCTGGGAAATGCTTGCATGTAGACTTCATGATAACCACCCTTGCCTAGTTCTCTGCCGAGAACAGGACCTAGTGTGGAACTGAAGGTGTTGACCTTACCAGTAGAGGGCACTTTGAACCTTCAGACTCTGCCTATTCATGGGCAATGAGGGAGTCATGGCCCAGCTGATCCATTAATTTTTGGTCATTGATATTGATCCCCATTTAGTTGATTTATCGGCAGTCAGCAGGATTGATCATTAAGTCCATCAGAATGATCAGATGAGGTATGCCAAGGGCAGGTTCCCCAACAACATGGTAAGATGGCCTTAGTTGGTACATCTACAAACACATATATGTATCTATGCGTATATGTGGTTATGTATCTGTTTATTTGAATTTGTCTAAGAAAAAAACTTTTTTGGAAAAGGTCACTATAAATTTTGAATTTCTGATGGAAAGGTACTAAGTAAATTAGCTTATAAATGTTAAAGAATATGTTAACTAATTGATTGATTTCATTAATATAATATTTTGCTTTTTCTAGAATCTGCATTTGTGGATATCCTCGACAACACGTAAGAAAATACAAAGGTATAAATATCAGGATCCCAATTTCTTCGGAATTCATGGTGCAAATGTTAACAGGAGTTTATTTTGCCTTGTAAGTTTATCCCACGTACAAATTATGCAACTTTTGATCTTTTGGAAAAAATGTTATCAGTTAATATAATCTATGGTAAATTAGATTATAGTACTAAAATAGAAAAGCCTCTTTCAATTACTCTTCTTAGATTTACATTTTAAGTATTTTTATATGGAAGGATATGGAGTAAGCTCTTGACAAAGCTTGCTTCAGGAAAGTTTTTTAGAATGTTTGAAAGATTATGTATGTCACTAAGAAATAGATTATAGCAATATTAATATATTTTGTAATAGAAGAGAATTTTAAGCAAAGTCAAAATCTTGCTTCATTCATTCAGCTATAAAACAAGACTTAATGACTTAGCTGAATGCCCATATAACGCTTTTCTTCTCTTCCATCCCTCGTGCACTTTACAAGTTGTCCACAAAATCTCATTGCTTTGTGATCTTTTCTACAGCTTTCCGAAGCCTCTCTGATTATATAAGAAATTAAGAACATGAATATTTCAGCATGCTCACAGAGTGTTGCTTGTCATGATCATGTAAAATAATTGCATTTCTAGTTAGTTGGAATTTATCTAGCCCAGAAAAGCTTCGTAAATGTCTGTTGAGCAAAGGTATATTTGGATATTTGGCTAGCAGGAGGAAGCCAGAGACTGTGCCGTTAGTGCGGCAGTGAAAGTGAAAAATCTCACTCTTCTGTCTCTTCATTCCTTTCGTCCTCCTGTGTCTGGGAAGATCTGTCATCTCCAGAGTCACAATTAAGTCTGGACAGGGCTTTAGGGAAATGTATTGCTGTTAGGTTTCAGAAGCCTTCATTGATTTACTGAGGGCAGTAATACTTTCTCGGGCTCAGGAGGGAACAAGAATGACAACTGCTTCATATTTCTGGGAGTTGAGAGGGACAGCAGATCTTATTTCCATGTTTCATGTGATCTGTAGAAGAATCTTCTGATCCTCCCCAAGATATGACGGTTGTCTTTTATAATTACCCTTACCTTAGGTGAGAGCTGTATGTTGAGACAAACTCGTGCTTGAGACCAGCCATTGGAGCCAAAATTGTCTTTTGTATACCCTAGACGAGATTTTGAAAACATATACCTCTTTTGTGTCACTGTCCCCTTGGGGCCTGGAGCCTTTATTGTAACATAAAGTATGTTAGTCAGTCAGATCGAGTGCCTACTATGTCCATACATGACATAGAGAATAGAATTTTCTGGCAATATGTGCAATTATTTTAAAATCATCTTTCAAATTGACCCCCCCCCCCATAGTCCTCTTCCCATGTATCACACCCTAGAGGGTTCTCTGCATTGCCGGGTTGCTGGTTCTAGCTGTTCCGCCCATTGATTCTGCCTCCCAGGTACTTACAAGCTAAGGCCACTCCAAGACCTGTGGGCCTTGCCTCACCTCCCAGAATCAGAGGTGATCAAACCCGAGCCTGAATAAGAATTCCTTCTTGTGGCCTCCCTAGCAGTGTTTATCCAGTTTCTGCCTGAAGACCTCTAGTACAGGAGGATCCCCACCTCCTTAAACAACCCATTCCACTTTTGGGTGGCTCTCCTTGTAGACGGGCTGAATCTTGTCTCTGAGTCCCTTCCTCTCACTGTTCCTATGTCTCATCCCTAGAACTGAGAGAACCAATCTAGTCTGTAGGCAGCGTGACTGTGTTTCACATCCTCACAGTCTTCCTTTCCAGGTCTTGTATGCATTGACTTCCAGCAGTGATGGGCAGGAACATTAGGCCTTCTGATTTAGAGGGACTGAAAGCAGACTTGTGTGGATGTGCTGATGTCTAAACACCCTAGACTGTTCTTCTCTGACCGTCGTAAAGACTGAAGTGACCTCTGTGGGCTGCTGCTGTCCTCGGTTGCTACCCCGTGCCTGTCCTTGGCACTGCCTGGCTTCTCACTTTCATTAGTTTTCCTTCCAGCTGCAAACAGACTTAACCACAGAACACATGGGGCTCTGCCACTATATTTCACAATCAAAAATACCAACCCAGGGGATCTGGCATAAAGGAAAGGTCGGAAATTTTTAAGTCAAACAGACGAAATTAAGCTTGTTTTTGTACCCCTAGATTGTTGGATACATAATTTGTCAGTCAGGCATCAAGTATTTGTTAAGGTTCTTATGTGCCAAGCAATGTGTTAGGCACCCAGGGATACAAAGAAAATTAAAAAAAACCTCCCTGATCCAGGGAGTGCACCATTTGATGGGGAAAGCAGCACGCTCACAACTCCATATTAACAAGCTATGTACTACATCAATGGAAAACAAGCTCCGTGGAGGGAAGGTGCCAACGTAAAGGGGCGTGTGGAAGGGCTTCCTGGAGAAAGGGGGATTTTACCTGGGGCTTGGAGGAAGCCAAGGAAGGCAGAGACAGAGGTGAAGAGGAAGGGAATTGTGAAATTCATCGTTTAGAAGGACAAATACATTCAGCATCAGCATTTTCTCACAGAACTTATATCTTCAACTTGCTCCACAGCAAAGTTTAGGAGAACCCAGTTTTAGAAGTGGCCATCACTCCTGGGCCAAGCACATGGATACATTCTGAGCAAATTTAATGAACTGGGTCCGTACCATCGTATGTTTCCTTGTGGCCTCCCTCACTCATCACACAGAACATTTCTGATCCCTGAGTGAAGATCAGAGAACTTTTTAAAAAGTCTTTTTGTGAAAACTTTTCATCTTGCACATGGCTGCCAATATGCCATCCCTAAAGCCCAGGCCTAGCCACCTCCTCCTCTTCTCGGAAGCTTAATTGGCTCCCTCTAGGATCAAATCTCAATTCTGAAGTCGGGCCTTTCGCGCCCTTTGCCCACTGTCTCCAGCCTCCCTGTCCAGGCTCACTGCTCATTACTCTCCTTCACATACCTGGCTTTGTAGTCCAGCTGGCCCGTTGGCTGCTCCCCATAGCAGTATTGCATCCAGCATCTCATCCTTTGGCCCAGCCTGCACCTCCTGCCTAGAAATGCCTGCCTTCCTGCCTTGGCTTCTTCACCTCCCCAAGCACCACCTCCTCCAGGAGGCCTTTCCTGATTCCCTCATTCCAGTGTATCAGTGCTGCCTCTCTCCATCTGCCCTCCGAAACGATTTTGTATTGCTTTTCTATGTATATATCGTTTGGGTCTCCACCAGAATGGAAGCTTGGGGGTGGGGGGATGGGGAGAGTTCTTTCATGTTTGTCTCTTTGTCCCTAATGGCTAGCACAGTGGGCAGCATGCAGTAACTGCTTAGTGAAAGCTGTTGAATGAATGAAGGTGCTTGCATCTAACTTCTGGGTGAAAATCCAAACACTAACTCTCACTGTTCTAACACATGGCTGTGACAAGAGAGAAGGGCCATCAGATTTATCCTCCAGTAGCAGCGTCTTGTTCCCTTCTGCTTTCAGTCCAACTGCCGAGCCGGTCTGCTCCTGCACTGCCTTCTAGGTGCCAGCTCCTGGATTTGGGTGCAGACAGTGGGCCTCTCATATCCATTGTCCATCCTTATTGTTGGGCCAGGCCAGGCTTGTGACAGCCTTGGTCCTGTCTCTGAAACGCCCCTTCATCTTCATGGGCTTTTCCTGATATCTCTGTAGGACTTGGAGCTTACATTTTGTTGAAGTTGGAATAATTAGTCTATCCATTAAAACAGCGTCATGTACACTTCCTAAGGACTTTTTCAGAATACTTAGGAATAAAAGGGCAAATGTTACAGGGCATATCCCATTAAAGGCTGTGGGAGATGTATGGCAGTTTAACCAAACAGTGTTCTAAGTGTTCATTCCAGGATACATAATCGACTACATTTTGGACTATTTTGAACTTGTACCTTGTTTATCTGACTTCCATTCTATAAATAGAAAAATATTCTTTTGGGAAAAAAAAGTACATCCATAAATTTTCTTTGTATTAATATTCACAGGCCTCGTAATGCATTAAAAAGGAATTCAAAGATTTAAAACCATTTCAGGGAGTGAAATGGGGAGGCAGTATACTAATACGGTTAGCCATCGCTCTCGCAGAAGATAAACATTGTAATGTTTGATTGTGATTTTGTTTGTATATATAGAATTAATGAAGAAAGTTTCACACTTTGGATTTAATTTTTATAGTTATAATGGAGAATGGGATATGGCTGAGATGGCCCTGGAAGATGTCCTGTACAGAGCCCAGTTGGAATTGTTCCCTGAACCACTGCTGGTACGTGCTCCACAGTCCAGGCCGCTCCCGCCGGCCTCCGGGATTTCTCTACTTTGAATCATGATAAGCAGTGGAGCCAGCATTCACAGCGTATGAAACACCCTGCTAATTCTCAGTCATTTAGCACCTTGTCTTGCAGGGCAATGAATTGTTAAGCATGAAAAGAAATTCCGTAATTAGTAAAGGTGCCCTCCTGGCTCTGTGATAAGTCATTACAGTCTGTACATGCGTGTGTGTGATGTCCACAAGTATTGGCTTGTTAGTAGTTGGCATCTAACTTAATATATGGAAACTTTAACTTCATCTTTGTATGCTTGTGTCTTCTGGAGAGTATGCATTTATTCCCTTATCCAGTCCCTTAAAAGCGTAATAGGAGCTTAAATTGTATACACATTTATTTATTTCATGATGATAATCTAAGTAATTTCTTTCCTCCTTAGGTTGCTAATGCAATAAAGACTTCATTGCCTGCAGTTGCCATGCAATCTAGTAAGGAGGGTAAAAGATGCATTCAGGTTGAAATTACACCAACTTCATCGAGAATATCCAGAAATGCTGTAACCAGCATGTCGATAAGAGGGCATAGATGGAAAAGACATGGTGAGGAGCATGTGCTCTAACAAGAGTGTTGTTCATTGCAAATACTAATAAGCCAGGGGATCTTTTCCTTATAGTGTTACTTCAGAGATCAAAATATGTGAGTAAATGGGACTTTGGTGACCTGGAAAGTGTTGATGACCCTCTAAGTATCGACTTAATTTATTATCAAAGCATGCCTCAGTCCCAGGGAGAATTCACATGTCTGGTGCATACAGATGCTCTGTACGAATGAAAATTAGCTTTGGTTTATTTCTCAAACATTTTTTTTTCAAATAGAAGAGATGTAATTCAGATGGAAAAATATAATTGCACTCATTCTATGTTTTTGGCTTTTGTGCTTCTGTGAATGACTATGCACTGAATGTTGCTTAATAATAGTTCTGATTGCTAAATGGCCAAGCCAGCAGGTAGGCGTAGGGGTTGAGACAGAACAAATAACAGTGGTTTTTATGGTTTTTTCCTTTTTCCTTGTTGTGGAATATCACAATATAACAACAGCTTCAAGCCTTTCTATTTCTTTGGAATGAGATTTTTCTTTGTAAAATCTATCATTGTTTCACCAGTTTGTGACTTTTTTCCTTTTTCCTTGTTGTGGAATATCACAATATAACAACAGCTTCAAGCCTTTCTATTTCTTTGGAATGAGATTTTTCTTTGTAAAATCTATCATTGTTTCACCAGTTTGTGACTTTTTTCCTTTTTCCTTGTTGTGGAATATCACAATATAACAACAGCTTCAAGCCTTTCTATTTCTTTGGAATGAGATTTTTCTTTGTAAAATCTATCATTGTTTCACCAGTTTGTGACTTTCATTATTTTACATTTTGCTGGCATTTACTAGTGTTTCTTGGTGCTCTCTTCTCTACCTCTGTCCTCTTTCCTAACTCGTCCTTAATGGGTCTCCTCCTCCTCTTTCTCATCATCATCATCCTCTTCCTCCTCCTCTTCATCCTCCTCTTCATCAACCTCTCCCCCAAAGAGTGATCCCAGATTGGGAAAAGGAGCAGCTTTCTGGGGAGCACCTTCCAATGTGAAAGGGTCTATTTGGAGGCAGAGAAAAAAGAAACAAAGTCCATTTCCTCACCCTCTTTCTGTTAACCAAGATAGTACTAGTAGCTCCCCTTCTAGTTGGTGAATCTGGTTTCAACTGCTGCTTTGGTCTCTGGGACTGAGGGAAAATAAGCAAAGGAGACAAATGAGTCTGTGCTGGGAAACAGAAAATCAGGGGCTGCCCTTGAGGGTGAGCGAGGAGGTGGACAGTGATTGATGGACAAAACTATGGAGCTTGATGAAATGACTACTGAAGTAAAGAAGTTTTCTCTTTTCAATGAATTCTTTCACAATTTAAACTCATGCCCCACATTTTTGAGAGCACTTCAAGAAAGGCATAAAAATGGTGATAGCTCCCATTAGTAACACATCATTTGGTGATTTAAGACACATAAGCCAGATGTGACTCTCTGTTTTAAAACATAGCAGTTGCTCTTAGAGATTTGTCATTTTAGAAGACTATGCTACTGTCCTCAACACAGAGAGGGGTGAACAAAAGATGGAACCCACTTGATTGTAGGTGATAGCATATTGCAGATTGATTTGCTTGTTGCTGTAATCATCGGTAAGCATAGCTGTGGGTTCCATCCGATCTATGCCAGCCATGGTGAGCTGCCCAGCACAAAATCCACAAGGGCCTTATTCTCCAGCAGATCAGCTGGAAATTCTACCAAAGGAACCAGCAGTAAAGAATCTTGTCTTTCCCTTCCAATTTATCATCTTGCCAAGATGAACAGAGGAGAAACTTTCCCAGGTACTGGAAACCAGTGCCTGGATCCTCAGTGTTGAAAGAGATCCCAGAAGGCAGCTGATCTGATGCTTACCATTCCTGACACGTGCTCAGCAAGCCCATGTTTAGGCTTCCCTAGTGACAGGGAGCTCTCTTCCTTCCCAGGCAGCCCTGGGCCATTGCTGGACCTTTTGCCCCTTTTGGTTCTGTTGCTCTTCTTGGGGATCGAGTAAAGCAAGGCTGGTTCTGTTTTCCACGTGCCATCCCTTCAGGCATTTCTAAACTAGAAGTGTGCTTCCCCACTGAGTTTTTTCTTCTCTAGGCTAAACATCCCCTTTATTAAAAAAAAAAAAAAAAGGAACCAGAAAATTTAAACCCAGCCATATATATAGAAAAATATATTCAAAGTAAATGAGAATCATAGTTCACAAAATGTATTATTTGCAAGCATAATCCTAAACTTTTTTAAAAGAGAAGAGATTGCTATATCAATCACCTTTCCATGTATGTTTTTGGTTCTATCATTAGATCTGGATTGATCCTGTTTTGGGCCAGCAGGTGCCTTGTCAGACTCATGATCAGTTCTTGGGGGACTCTTTCTTATGCTGTGGCCTAAGAAAAAAGTCTTGGTTTTCTCCTGTACCCTTCTTGCTTTTAACCGAAGCCCAAAGGCGAGTCTTCTTAACTGTGACAGTCTTACTGATAAAAATCTATGAGGGTCCATGTTGTATACAGCTAAGGGGACTTCAGTCCCACAGAGTAGAACCAGAGTCCAGTTTTGTCCCACTGTTTCTAGCTCAGTGTTTGGGACTTAGGAAGTGCTTCGTCAGTGAGTGCTTGCCTGACCTTGGAGTCCAGATCCTCCTCTTTGATCCCCTTGTCCATAGTATCCAGGACCTTTTCCTCTGATGCCTCAGGCACTCTGTGCTGTTCCTCTTTGGGTAGAGTTTTGACTTTATTTCCCTTTTCTGAGATACCTTTGTCTCTTTTGGTCCCCAAGTTCTGCTGAACTAAAAATGTTGATCCCTCCATAGCCTTTATCTCTGTGGTCTGAAGGATAGGGACCAGAAGCTCCAGCTTAGGGAGCTAGGATGACTAGTTGGAAAGTTAAAGGGTGCCCCCTTTGCATTTCCTTCTAGCTCTTCCTCTTTCTTCTTCCCCATCTGCCACTTTTTCCTCTTCTTATTTCTTCTCCTTCTTCCCCCTTCTCTTCTTTTCCACTACCCCTGCTCTCACAGACTCTACCCATTGCTACACATTTGCTCATGTAAGGTGAGAAGTAGGTGAGCAGGGGTAGGGGGGATAGCAGGGGCAAAGTTTCCAGCCAGAAAGGATGGAGGAGGGGGAGAGCAAGGGGAAAGAAGGAAGAGAGAAAAGGAGATTTCCTTTTAAAAAGGGGCCTTGAGGCTGGTGTCAGAGACTGTCTCTCCATAGAAACAGACCTACAAAAGATTGCCCTACACTTGGGGCATGATATAGAAGGGTGTATTACTTCAGACCATTTTCAGTGACTGAAAATCCATGTATTATTATGGCTTCTGAAAATTTTCTTAAGTCTTAACCATCTAAACTATATTCCTGTGAATTAACTTAATTTATGAACATTTGAAAACACGTTCTGGAACTAAGTTAAGACCTGGGCATCTTTAGGAATTTAATCTCTTAAACAATATCTCTATGAGGAAAGCGTGTCTACCGCTACCCAAAAGCCTTTATTATAGCACGTCATGAAGTGCTGAAGTTTTAATGTTGTTTCTTAGCTCCTAGTTCTTGGGGAAGTTTTTATTACTGTTACATCTCTGCATTTCACTTTCATAATGTTACCTTTTGTCTCACTCCATTCTCTGACCACATATGTCTGCCGCTCACTTTCCACTCCTGACAGCCAGGCAAGTGGCATTAGATACAGTGGACACTGTATGACCAGACGTGTGTGTGTGTGTGTGTGTGTGTGTGTGTGTGTGTGTGTAAGGGTGTTTTCATATATTCATTACATGAAGATAGCTTTTGGGGATTGGGGGTCACATGACAGGAAATTTAACTAGTCATCAGAATATTTCACTTTTCAACCAGTGTTGTTTGGACACAATTATTCAGTCCTGTTTTTTTTTAAGCTTTTCTTTATAATTTGAGGATTTGAGAAGTTATTTAAAATGTAATAATTTTCTTTCAGTGCAGATGTTTGCAGAATAGCATTAGAACGTGGAGTAGCCATTTTTACCTCTAAATGACAGTTTAAGAATTATCTCTATTTATTACTGACACTTTTCAGTTTGTATTGTTTCTTCAAGGGTGGATAAGATGGCTCAGGGGAAGGAGGAAACATTCCAGGCAAGGGAGAAACCCGGCCCAAGTGTTTCCAAGGCGGGTTCTAGAGGGGAGGGAGACTAGAAGGGGGAAAGGCAGAATATGAAGGTGAAAAAGGGTTGAGGGAAGGGTAAAGACCAAAGAAATGAAACGTTAAATAAGGTAAGATTTGGTGTTTTAGGTTAGGAGAAAGAAGAGAGGAACAAAAGCAGTGGTGCTGATGCTAAGTGAGATGGTGTTCAGCTTGGTGAAGCCCTGCCCCCTCCCCTAGGTAGTCCCAGATGTCACTCCCAAAGCCTTTTTTTCTCACTTACTCACCTCTCAATCCTGAAGTGAGGACTTGCTATCTTTTGCATTGAATACCTCAGACTCTCAGTTTCAGGAAGATCCAAATTAACCAAGTTAACCTCATTCATCTTCTGCCCCTTCATGCTCCCAGCCTTTCTTGGCCACTCATTTCTGTGCTCTCTGTTTGTGTGGCTTCTTCATTCTGTCATCTTCGTCCCCCTAGTCCTGCTCCCTGTGCCTGTAATGCTCCAGGTGTCTTCCCTTCTGTCTTTGAAAATGTTTTCAAAAAAAAATTTGAGTGTCAAAATTACGGTTTGCCTTAGTTAAGGTATATTTACAAACGATTGGTTGTTTTTCACTGGATTATTCTCCAGACAAAAGATTCACATAGTAAATAAATGGGACCCCAAATCTTTATGATTATTCACTCTTTTTTGTAACTTACATGCTTATGTCAGTATTGAGGTTAAAGTGTGTCAGTCCCTCTAGGATATAGATTATGTTTCATTGGCTTTGCCTAGATATGCCTTGGTTTTTACAGTATCATCAGATCATATATAAATCAGGTTTTTAGAAGTCAAGTTTCATTTTGAAACCATTGGAGGAGCTTACTTTTAAAAGTAAT